TAACGGAGTGCTTAGGATTACGTTCACCACAACCGTGAAGACCACTACAACTCAGATGAAAACCACGACCGGAAAGACTCAGAAGAATAAGACTAATCAGACAAAAATGTAATACATATTTGTGTGTCGATTGTGTGCCATATTATAGTCAATGTGTTATGAGTTTTAATTGTAGTTTCTTTTGAATAAATATATTACAGATAATACCAGTTGTTAACAGCGAATGGACTTTATTTACAGCGAGTTTTATATAAAGTATTATTTTTAGCATTTAAATCAAGTAATGTTTGTTAGATTTAAGTTTAGTTATTGTATTTTGAGCAAACAGTGTACAGGACTAATTAATAACAGTTATTAAAATTAATTATTTTAAAATTACTGAACATTAAAGTATTAAATTGTTTTAAAAGTTGAATAAAATGTTATAATAAAAAGAGTTTATTAACTTTAAGAACTTATTGTAAAATTAAAATCTGTAGTAAATTTTTATTGAATTTAAATAGACAATTTACGTAAATATCAACTAAATCAAGTAATTTGCCGTAATTAAAAATAAAATGACACCAGTACTAATTAAAGTACAAAATGACCATGCACTCTAACGTATACTATACAGTGGTTGATAATAATCAATACTTAAATCTCATCACTATTAAATTATTAATGTTTTACGAATAATAATCAATCAAAATTATCATTGTTTAATTCTTGGAAATTATAGATAATTAAAACTATTAACACTTTGATTGAGTGATGAAATTATTTTAGTACTATTTGAATAAACAAGGTTATAATCAAATAACACCCGGATTATTTAGCTCTTTAAAGTTTAAACTAGCATTTTCACTACTCATATAAATGGCATGTCTTATATTCAAAATAGGTTTCATAAAGTAATTTTACACTTTTTAAACTTTTAATAAATAAAACAGTTAGCTATTTATTACCAAATTTCGATAGATTAAATTTCTAATAGATATTTAATTTATTTAAAAATGCTTTTAAGTGATGAAATATTATTTACATTTGATAATTTGTTTGCCAATGTCAATTATTATATTTACGATTATTGGATCGATATTCAGGATCCCCGGACCAAACACTTACCATTCATTAACTACACACCACTTTGGATGATACTCTTTCTCACGTTATATTATTTAGTAATTAATGTATTTTTGCCACAATATATGAGTGCTAGGGAACCTTATAAATTGAGAGGCATCATGCTAATATATAATGCATATATGGCACTAACCAACTTGTGGGCATTTACAGAGGTGATACAGTTGATTGATTATGGTCGTATATTCTTTATACTTGATTATCCAACTGACAAAACATCATCAATAGACACGCGACGGTTGATTGTACTCGGTTTGTATTCACATAATTCTACTTTAAGATATACTAGTTAAAATTTAATAATTAATTTAGAAATAATTTAACTCAAATATATTTTCAAAAATATGTTAGTTAAATAAATAGATTTTCTATTATAATTGCATTTAATATAATAATTATTTTTCAGGTTATATGTACTTCGTATCGAAAATGATGGACTGGTTGGACACACTATTTTTCTGTTTACGTAAGAAGTTCTCGCACGTAACCTTGCTCCATTTGTATCACCACATGTCG